ATACATATTATTGTGGTTCAGGTCAATACTATATTTCTTATTCATATTTCTTGTTTTATTTATATGTATACCCATATATTCTGCAGTATAAGTGCAACTGTAACAACTGAAATAAATCCCCCCTGGGCATATTAAGTTTAGTATTAAATAAGATGAGAGCTGAAAGCGAGCTCCTCAACATTCACCTTCGTCATGAGAGTTGTGGAGAAGCAAAAAGAATTGTAGATGTTGGTGATATTATTTTTCACATCTTCTGTTTTCCACCTCAGAGTTTAAAAAACTCGTAAGGGACAGTTCACGTCAGCAGCAACAACAGGGTCAGTGTCTGAGTATTGTGAGCACTTCTCTATTCTGCTGCTCACAAATTGTCGACGCAATTACAAACACACACACACACACACACAAGTTTATGCACAAGAATACATTTGCAGATGCAGTTGGACAAACACACAGACAGACATGACAGCCACAGCAGACTTCCTGCTCGGGTTAAAATCAACTCGAACTGATAATCAAACAAAAGAGCAGACTGCACTCCATTTCATTAAGTGAACTCTTAGAGGAAATGAATCAAGCAGCTGAGCTCAAACAATAAGCTATCGCACAAGGCACAAGCCAGTGCATTAACAACAACGAGCTGGAAATGATCTACAGCGCATTATTCACTCTGTGTCAGCGTGCAACGAGGAAGTGACGATGGATTCATGTGAGTAACTCAATAATAGATTTCACAATAAAGAATATAACTGACTCAGTCTCACGTTAGGCTGTAAAGGTACTAATGATCTAATTTTAATCATGTACAAATTAGTCTTTTGCACTTTCTTGCTGCAAACAAACCAGCCAGACTGCTACTGTAGTTAAAGGTGTTTCTGTAGAGCATTTGGAAGAGGTCCGTTTTGGTGAGAGCCCATCCAGGGACTAATGGTATGGGCTAATTTTATCACAGATATGAGCCAATATTACAAGATTCATTCACCAGCATTTAATTTGAGTATCATTGCACTACACTAGCAGTTCTCTTTCACCAGCAGAGGGCGCTATATGGATTACGACAAGCATTCGGTGAAGCAGTGATGCACATGGGAAGTTACTTTCCAGTTGAGTCAACATCTTGTCTTCATGATAAATCTTTTCCACAAGTGATTGGTAACTGCATTTTAAAGAACAATGCAATACATGTGTTTATAAATATCTATCTATCTCTACAGATTTCATAGATCGAAGAAAGATGTCGGCCGATATATCTGTCTCAGATTTTTTTTTCTCTGCTCCAAAAATCAGATATCTGTCAGGCCCTAGTTTTGGCACATAATGAAAAGTTATCAATCCTGTGTTTTCCCTCCTCATATCCTCTTACAACAAGAATCATTGAAAGTGCGGTACACATAGGACATATTCTGTCTTTGAGAGCTCGTGTTGGTTGCTGTTTTTTTTAGTGTTAGGCTAACCCTAATTGCAAAGAACATTTTTTGACAGTGTTTTCGTTACTGGTCCTTCATCAGGTGATCAGTTTCTTAAAGAGGGGGGCATCTTGAATATGAAGTGGCATCTGGTCCCAACCATAAACATCATCACATCGGATCTGAATATATAAACTAAACAATACTAAATAAAAAACATCAGCTTTCTGACTGAGAGGTAACATATCATAACATTACATTAGGCTATTCAAGTAATCCACAATAAATTGTGAATTCATGAAATCTACTCTATACTGAGACTGAATGTAAAAAGAAGCTATCCGTATACCGCCACTCTTCACAGAGATGCGCTCTTGTGCTGACTGAGCTCAGTACTGTCCACATATAGCTCTGGTTCAAACTGTTCTTGTCTTTTACAGGGCTGCAGCTTTCCTTATGTTGACTCCTTTCAACAGAGTTGTGACAATCTCCTGACAAATCAATTTGTAATTCTGAGGAACAACTTAATCTCGGAAATATTGCTCAAGAAATCAGACTTTTCATAACAAGGAAATATTTGTTTTGAAGCATCTGCCAAGTAAGCATCAGAGAGGCTTAGTCAGACAGAAAGACTGATTCATTGATGCCATGGATCGTATTCCTTTCCAGGCTGCTCTGAGGTCACCACCACTCAACAGATCTTCAATGTGATTCTTAAACTTCAGTTTTGCCTCCCATATTTCCACCCTGACTTCCCTGGAGCCTTTTATCTCCGGGGGGTCACCAGAGTAGAAAATCAATTCATTTTTATTTGTAACTGATTTAAGTTCTTTTATGACCCAGGGTTTATTATTCGGGTAAGTCGACACCTTTTTAGTTGGTATCAAGGTGTGAGCTCACTTACTGAACCATAGCAGAGCTCAAGTGTGGTTTTATTTAGTGTTGTAGCACAAGTCACATATAAGTAAGTCCTTAATGTTTTATTTAATTGCAATGCTTAAAATCCCCCAGGATAAACTTGGGTGAAGCTGGGCAGATAGGTTCTAGTTTGTGCATGACTTCAGCGATCAGTTAGGCAGCAGCAACCCAAATGTGGGTCCCATTCACTCAGCCATGTTTCAGTAAAGGCAGGAAGACAGGTGTCTTTTATTTTCTGTTTAAACTTACTGTTTAAACTTGGCGTACCTACCTGGCCCTTACAATCTTTATCGTAATATACAATCAGCCCATCGCACCACAATATGTTGTGTAAAACATATTTAGTGACCACTGCACATCTGTCCTGTTACTTATACCCAGACATTGTGTAAAGCTTGAACTATTCTGTCTGCACTGAGTGCTCATGTTGTGCACTGAGCTCCCCATCAGGCTGCAGGAAGATCGGACGCCCCACTGAGTGATCTTCTGCTTTAGAAAAAGATGACAGATAAACACGTGCTCTTCCATCCAGGACTTCCAAGAATCTTCAACCCAGAGCTCAACAGAGTCAACAGAAAGCAGCAGCACTTACTATAAACCAGAGTAAACATTACAGCTCATCCCAGAGCTCAACAGCAACCTGCTGCTCACATAACTCTGCTGCTTCAGGCGAGACGTCATCGGCTTCTGCTGCACTTATTTGCACAGAGCAGCTGAATCATGAAGCAAATCTTCGTTTATGTGCACTGTGGCAACTCTCCCAGCTCCCAGTTTATTTCTCCCCAAACAACTTCTATATTTACACATTTCTTTAACGTGTATGGACACTTAATCTTTCATAATCCAAGCATTATCTCCCTGGCTTCCTGTAAACGGAGTCTCTTGGCAGTAATATACTGTATATGGAAGAAAAATATCTGGATGACAAAGTACAATCCTGTGGCCAATTTCCGTCCTTTATATGAAGCTTTAGAATAAACCGATTTGAAGGCCTAATTTGTCATTCCATGGTTTTATTTTAATGCCCACAAATGTTTGTTTATATGAGGATTATGTGAAATGGATATCCTTCTTTCAAAGCAGTGTTTACACTCATGTAAGAAGAGCTTACGCTGTACAGCATTTAAACTGGGAATCAACCCAACATCCATTGAACTGCGCAGCCTCTATTAAAGGTTTGCTGGCCGAGTAGCACTTTGTCACCAGGATTGAATTACATCTGTGCCTCTCTCGTCATTAAACGTCTTCGGTGCCACCTTACAACTCTCAGAAGAATCAAAATAAGGGAAACATTATGTGCACATCAAGTCATTGCCTGGAAAACACAAGGTGCACTACATTGACTTTAAGTGTAGAAGATCGCAGTGATTTATTTATTGTAGCTGTCATGTAATGCCTCAACGTTTTCAAGAAATGTCAGAAGTTTGAGTGAACTGCAGACTTCTTGTATCAGAGAAAACGTGATGCACCAAACATATTATCATTAGAGCTCCCAGTAATAATAACCCTGTGAAAAAGGGCTCTAGTTATGAAATCATTTTGTCCCATTGCACCAGTAGCTAATTAAAAAAAGAAGAACATGACCTGTTGAACCTTTACATGTTTATGTTATCATCGTGAGAATGTTAATCTGGTGATATCTGCATCAAGCACAAAGCAGCTATGACCTTGTGGCTTGGTTTTCTTTGTTTGTTTCTCTGTTGAAGGAAAATCTAAGTTTGTGAAAGAGGCATTTTGTGCAGTTTTGGGTATCTAAAAGTCAAAAACGGTATCAGCAATTGACACTGCAGCTGATGATAGACGCTAACACGCAATAACTCCAAACATTGATAAAAAGTTTGACGAGCTGAGAAGTTGTCTTAAAGTTTGGTAGTATAATGATTCACCATGTCAATTACTTTTTGTACAAAGATAAATTTAGCCTTATAATGATATTACACGACCGGTGAGGTTTCACCAAACAAACAAGAAAGTTTTTGCTCAAATATGTTCTTCTCATTAGTGCACTGTTCCTTTTCACAACCCTGAAGACTCTCTTTCAGCTGAAAAATCTGTCAGATCGTCATTCAATCTTCTGTTTTCGTTCTAACTAAGGATCCACTGGATTTATTGACTCTATAATTAATACTTCAAATGAACTTTTAATTGATTTATTATCTCACAGTGACACATAAAGCTCCTTTTATGGCCAGCTAAAACAAACTCTGTCAAATCATTTTTCTGCAGCGATTTACGAGACCACAGTGAACGGGGCAGACGCAGGAAGGGCCCCCAACTGAGAGACACCACACACACACACACACACACACACACACACACACACACACACACACACACACACACACACACACACACACACACACACACACACACGCACACACACACACACACACACACACACGCACAGCATGGTCGGACCACTCATGGCATGCTACAACTCTTTCTCTGTAACTGCAGTTGTACTCTGGAGACCATTACTACCACTAACTCATACATTCTACCTTATGGCAATGATTTCTGCAGCACAACTACACGCTTTAAGGACAAAAGGACTTGTGAAAAACTACAACAACCAGACTGCAGTGCTCCAAAGTTCTCCATGTCAAAGATCCACTATCGGTAGGATCAATATTTAGGCATGTTAGCATCATAAAAGGAGAGTTCAGCCATTGTTCTTACCGTTTTGCTGAGGTATCCGGTGGAGATATTCCGACACTGTTTGTCCTCAGAGTGGCAGCACCCTCCACATCTGTAGACGGACACACACGGCGGTTTATAGAAGATGTTGGTGGGAGCCCCGAACTCCCTGCCCACGTCGACACACACTTCCCTGGGCATGCACTGAGTCTTCCTCCACTCCAACTCTATACCTGCACGCACACACACACACACACACACACACACACACACACACACACACACAGAGGAAGACTAAGAACATGATCATGCAATAAGTCTTATTTGCAGCTGCTGCAATAATGTTCAGCAATACAAAAAGGCAAAATGATACGTATATCTAATAATCATCAAACCTTTAAAGGTGAAGCCAGCAGGGGGACAGAGTCCACTGGTTTCAATAAGAAGCTTGATTGTGGATTAGAAATCCATCTTTCATCATTGTTTTGCTACCTCAGTATTTATTTTCCTAAAGAGTTCATGGTCTCTGTTGCTGCTTTCAAGTCTCCTCAAAAAGAGAATGCTTTTCAAATTGTACTACTCACATTTAGAGTCAATTATTACCTAACCTTATCACCTTAACATCTGGCTGGGGTGCACTGATACATACATGGAGTGAAAAGTCTCAGTGATGTTGTTCTGTATATTTGCACTCATGGAATTAATAATGTCCAATCAGAACACTCGATCTGAGCTCACTGTTGCATAATAAAGACATAGCAAAACATACTCTTGAGGAGATCCAGGTTGAGGTAGGCAGCGGCGAACGTGGGCTCCTCTGTTTCAGCCGGCGGTCTCTGTCTGCGAGGCTGAGGCCGCGGGGAGAGTTTGGAGGCCGATGAGGCGGCGGCAGAAAGTTTGGATCTGCACTTCAGGGACGCCCAGTACGAAGGATAAATGAGACTCATGAGTTCATCGACGCTGGAGGCTGAGCGTAACTTCTCCTCCATGTCAGGTTTTGGTGGAGAGTCCTGAAAGAGACCAGAGACACCTTCACTGATTATCACTTTTGCATTTTTTGAGATATGGAGATTTCCTTCTGTACTCTAGCATCTGTAACACACCAATATTTCAGTATGAGCTAATTATTTTGTACAAAGAGGCTGCGACCTGCTCCCTGATTTGGTTATAATGACTATTTCTTCAGGCCTTAAAAACTCAAGCAAACAGACTTTGCTGATCATTAAATCATCTGAAATATTGTATGGAGGGCGGGATTAACTCAGTTTGTAGGGTCTTGGGTTGGGAACCGGAGTGTCGTCGGTTCCCATCCTGTTGCAGGCCAAAGTATAGGAATTGGTCTGGTGGTTGGAGAAGTGCCAGGTCACTTCCAGAGTACTACCAAGGGGCCCATAAGCTAGGCACCAAACCCCCAAGAACTCTGGTGCACTCCCTCTATAGCAGCCCACTCTGAATCTCTCCATTAATGAATGTCCATTGGTCCTGTTTGTGCATGTGAGAAGCATGTCTTTAAATAACAGAGTGTAAACCAGAATTTAAAAAGGATATAAAACAAACGATTCCTGCAAGTAAGTAAATAAATTGCTTGAGCGGTGTACCATGAAGAAAAGATGACTCCAATGTTGAGATGAGAGGAAGCTGGGTGTTCGGGAACCTAAGGTTATCAGTCAATCAAAAAAATACAGGAAAAGAAGTGCATACTGATTTTTAAACTTCCTGAATAAGCCAAGTGGCAGTCTCCTTAGTGAGCACTCCAGCCGTGTGTGTGTGTGTGTGTGTGTGTGTGTGTGTACAGATAGAGTGAGGGTGAGACCTCTGATATGGAACGGTGTGCTGGTATGACATTTACTCAGGTTATTTGTGAGCATTGAATGTTCAGTTTGAGCTGCAGTTTGTCAGTAAATAAATCCAGCAGTTCCTCGAAAGCCAAGCAGAGCTCTTCATATGTGTTTATCAACAGCTGAGTTTAATGACACAGATGTTAAACCAAACCTAAACTCACAACGCCAGCCGAGCTGTTCACGAGCTGTAGGAAGCCCCCCGCTGCTAACTATCTCACACATTTATTTCAGAAATTAATGGTAGTCACTCTGTACCGTTAAAACAATTTTGCTGCAGGAATTAATATTCAGAAGTCAAATGAGTGTAAAACAGAAGTAAACATGATATTCATCATGAAGATAAATGAAAACACAGTTACAAAAGGGGTAGCATGGGTCACCGGTGTCCTATCGGCTAGGTCGAACCCCATGTGAGGAGGCTTGAACATGGGTTCAAGTTTCAGGTACTTTCCCACCTCTTCTCAAATTAATCTTATCAAATGGGTCAGGACTCATTATGGGGTGCTGATTGCCTTGTGGTTACAGAGTGTACGGTGGCTATAGTCTTCCAGGGGGACGGCGCAGGGATTCGAATCCAACCCATAGCTCCTTTCCCTCCTTTATGTCATTCCCCACTCTCTCTGTCCCTGATTTCCAACTCGTATCCACTGTCCTGTCTCTAACATAAAGGCATAAAAAGAATGATGCAGATCAGTGCAATGTTTCTCTGCTGGCAGACAAAGATAAGGGTTATGAAGGTGGTCATTTGTTGAGACTGACATTAAGATTGTATCATAAAAATATCCATGCTATAAGTGTAAAATACTCATAAATATGGCTGACCGAGGACATTTATACTGCATGTTCGGACTCGGCTCATGGCCCTCCTGATTCGTCTTCTCTGACGGATGTATTCAGAGTTTTTGTGAATGTTATCTCACTTCCTGTCCTTCAACACAACATAGATGGATAGATGCCATTGTGCTATTTATGATAAATATTAATTTAACATCCACACAAATACTGTGACAGGAACACACACACACATACGAACAGGCCTTTGTATTAAAACAGACAGACTGTAGCTGTCCATTGTATTTTGCTGCCTGTAATAGTTAAAAGACGCAGGCGCGTCACACACACACACACACACACACACACACACACACACACACACACACACACACACACACACACACACACACACACACACACACACACACACACACACACACACACACACCATTTCCCACCAGAAACAATGTGTTTATTTATGTCTGTTTCTATATGCATTTGCATGTTTGGTGTATGTGTTATATATGTCCTGTCTGTGTTTCCTCCGTCTCGTGTGTGTGTCTGTGGGTGTTACTGTGTTTGTGTATTTTTGTCTCAGTTTCCCCTGATTCTGGGTTTCTGCTTGTGTTAAAAAAGAGTGTTTTCATACACACACACACACACACACACACACACACACACACACACACACACACTGTTGTCCCTTCATGTGGGAAAAAGACATTTTTCTGCCGTCATCATCGACTCAAAGAAGCCGAAACAAACAATCGAGAATAAAGCAGCTGAGGTCGCCTGAATCCTATTTCTATTCTGATGTTTCCTGGATGTTTCAAGGTTTTATTGTTTGAAACTGAATGGAAAATTAAGCCCTGGTTGGTTTCACATGGCTGGAAATGTTTTAGAGCCACACACTGTCAACTTCTGCTATTTCAACTCAGACTACATTTTTTGTCAAATCAGCTTCCTAAAGATTTGAATCTTCAGTCATCCATTTTTGCTAATAGCCACGTCTAAGTGTTATATAATCGTCATGGTGAAAGAAGAAGAAGAAGAAGAAAAGAAGAAGCAGATATGCCCCCACTTGCTTGAACTCCACAAAATGTTGGATCACTACGTTTCGACCAGAGGTCTTCTTCAGGTGATCCTTCACATGTTTACCTGAAGAAGACCTCTAGTCAAAACATTGTGATCATTCAGCAGTCAAGTCGAGTCAACTTTATTTATATAGCATCATTAAACCAACCAAGGCTGACTAATGTGCTTTACAGTAAAAAGTTGAAAACTTAGTCATAAACTTGATTTTAAAATAATAAAATGTATCGGGTTAAAACGTGATAAATGAAAGTAAAGTAGTTCTAAAATATGTTGGGATAAAACACTGTCATCGTAAAGCAAAAGCTAAAGAGAAGAGATAAGCAGTGATTTAAAACACTCGGGGGTCGGGGCAGATCTTGTGTGTAATTTTGGGCCTGTTAGGAGGCTAGCAGTCACATTTTAGACAAGCAGCAGCCGTTTGATGGACGACTGGGTGACGGCTGTATCTTTTGTTCCCAAGCCTTTCTGAGGCTATTGCATAACTACATCAATGAAATTTATCTCATAAGAGAAAGTGCTCCTCACAGTTTTTCAACAGCTAACATTAAAGGCTAACTGCAGACTGTGAAATGGTGCAATGTCTTTGTCATGGGAAATTTGTAGACACACAAGGAGGAAAAAAGACTGCAGGAAAATGTTTGTCTGTCACAGTACTATAGGATCAACTGACTCACAGCAAACAGGTTAACTGTGATAGCACTTTTAGATATCAAAATACTGGACCTGGAGCAGTAACAGGTTGAACGTGACAAAGTGGAAATACCAGCAGACAGAGACAGGCTGAGATATGAACAGACAGAAAGTAAACCAGCTATCAGACGGCTGCACACCTGTCAGACAGCTCAGAAGATTTCTGTGATCGTGAGACTCCCCGAAGCTTGAAACAAGAGAGCGTCTTTCTGCAGCGTGATGTCAACAGCTGACACTCAGCCTCTGTATCGGAGGGATCGATTTCTGACGTTTGTCTGAGCTGTTTCACCACAATAACTTTATCTCACTGAGAACAAGAGCCAGGAGCCAAATCCCAGGAGTTCTGTCAAGCTGCAGAAGATTTGTTTCTGCTCATGAGTCTAAATTCAACTGTCAAACTGTCAAAAAACATCAAATACCAACTGTTTTTAACGGGTTCAGATGGTGTTAAATATCCAAACCAGTCGGCTCTAAATGGCTGCAGTGCTAATGTGTCCCACAGACAGATTTCTCTGTAGTTAAGCTTAATCGCAAAAAAAGTGTTGCAGTGTTTACAGCATGTGTACAGTGATGCTACATGCAGACTTTTGGTGCTGCACCTGTAACATTAAGGATTATAGTAGATAGTATATAATGTGAATATCCATAGCAAAGCCTGCAATGGGATGTGTTCATATGCAGAACAAGAAGACTTTAGTTTAAACATTAGTGTGCAGCCCAATTATGAAGAACACAAGTCTGCTGGGTGGTGTTCAGTGGCCATGCATGGGTCAAACAACCCACTTTTTTTTTTTTTTTTCTGTGTCTTTATTGTAGAGACAGGACAGTGAAATAGTCCTACATCAGGGACAGAGAGAGAGTGGGGAATAACATGCAGGAAAGGAGACACAGGTTGGTGTTGCCCGCTTCGAGGACTACAGGAACTGTACATGAGGAGCTTGGACCAGCCACTAGGCCAACAGTGCCCCATCAACTCACTTTTTGATGAAAAAAAACAGGACTTATTTTTGGAGAAATTACTGTCAGCGATTACAGAGAAACATGTTGAACAAAGTTGTAAAAGTCCTCCTGTTTCCCTGAAGTTTTGCAGTGGACACTCTTTGTTTTCATTCAACACTCAGTCTAACAGTAAAGTCAAAATAACTATGTTCATATGCACTAAAGGGCGAGATTTTGAGGGATAGACTGAAGACACTAGAGTCACTCTTAAAATAGAGCCTGAGGAGCGCCTGTAGCATCGTGCTTAGTGTGCATAGCACGCCCCATCTGTAGTCTGTAGTCCTCCCGGCGGGGGGCCTGGGTTTGAATTCAACCTGTAGCTCCTGTCCTGCATGTCATTCCCCACTGTCTCTCCTTCCCCATTATCTGATTATATCCACTTTCCTATCTAAGGTATATCAAGATCCAATACAAATACAGCCTGATATGTTCAGATGTAACCCAGCCTGACTAGCTTTTGTCAGAACATGTCGCTGACACTGTGAAAAACATGGTGGTATGAAGCTGAATCAACGTATGAATATGATGTTTACATGTCCAAAGAATGCACCTGAACTGAACTATTGTATTACAACTAAAGCATGATCTTTTTCCTGAACGTGACAAAAGTC